CAGATGAGAGCAGATTCAGTCTGAGTAGCGATTCTCATCGCATACTCATCTGGAGAGAGCGGGGAAGCCGCAATCATCCCTCGAACATCATTGAAAGGGACAGGTATGGAGGTGGCGGTGTTCTCGTTTGGGGAGGCATCATGCTTGGTAGTCGTACAGACCTTCACATCTTCGACGCAGGTTCAGTCAACGGGACCCGTTATTGTAACGAGATTCTTCTTCCATATGTGCGTCTTTTTAGAGGGGTCCGCAGTTCCTTTTCATGGACAACAATGCGCCATGTCATTGCACAGTAGCTGCCGAACAGCTCTTAGAGAGTGAGGATATTGAACGTATGGATTGGCCGGCACGACCTCCGGATCTCAATCCCATCGAGCATGTATGAGATTTTCTAGGCAGACGCTTGGCAGCTCGTACCTTACCACCAGTAACGATTCCGGAGCTTCGATTGGCGCTGCAAGACGAATGGGCAGCAATGCCTCAACAACTCATTGACAACCTCATTCTCAGCATGGGCAGACGCTGTGAAACCTGCCTAGCAGTCAGGGAAGATCATATCCCCTATTAAAGACCGGATGTTTCTTGCTGGACACCCATCACAGGGATGTTTCGGCCTTCAGTCGCATTGCGCTCCATGCTACTTTTTCAATAAAGCTTCTTTTTATCCCTCTGATTTCTCTTTAGTAAGTGTTGCTTACATTACTCATGTCCTTACGTATTGGGGAATCTTACGATATTAATGTGTTGATTTGGAAAGCTTTTTGTACAAAGTTATATTGAAAAAACCGTCTCGTCCTTAATTTTTGCACACCATTGAAACTCCTGTAAGAAGAACTCTACGAGCGGTATTGAAGTCGTTAGAAAAAAAAGCCCAATGTTATTGTAAATTACATCAAATTATGAGCGGTTTGATCGAGCTTACCAACTGGCTTTGACATATTGTTTTTTAAGAGAATCCGTAAAATGGTGGCGAAAACTATTTTTGGGGGTTTGGATTTTGCTCCATCAATTCATACATTCTTTATAAATCAGTAAAGAAGCAGAGAACGGCCGTTTAGTCAATATTTGAAAACTTTACTGGATCAACTGAGAGGAGACTTTCGACAAAACAACCCAGCACAGCTTCTACTTCACACAGCATTTCTGAAGCGATCCGACTAAATCGGAAGCTGCATATTATTTTGATGGGAAAAAAAAAAAAAAAAAAAAAAAAAAAAAAAAAAAGAAAAGATTGCAAGGTTTGCTCCCAAAGAACGTCCCAAAGGTGACAAACTGTATACTACTGTGACATATGCCCCGACAAGCCAAGGATGCATATTAGAGATTGTTTTGTAAAATATCATACAAAGCAAAATTTTAGAATGTAATGTTTAATACATATGTTTCGTTAAGTTAAAAAAATATGTATAATGTTAAAATATACGAGTTTAAAGTGTTTTATTGTGTCTAAAATTATTTTAAGTTAACAATAAGGAACTCAGGATATAAGCGGGAATGGCTGATTACTCTCAAGTTGCTGGTTCAACCGACAGAAAAGCGCCTCGAGCGCAAAGGGTTAAGATTTTAGTTTTAATTTGAAATTCCTTACTTTTGAGTTACGCCATAAATGCTGACTGGTTTTGTAAGTACAAGCAATGCCTTCTGTTAATTTTTTTGAATTCTAAATAAAAGGGTCTTTTACACCCTTCTTATGTTTGCGTGTGGTTAACCAGAGATAACGATAATTCGCTTATGTCTGTTCACGAGTCTTGCCCCAGCGGCGCCAGTTAATCCCATGGAGGGATTAGGATTTATTGTGGAAACCATCCGCAGCTATGAAATCGGCTGTGACTTTCAATGGCAGAACCTCGGTAACTAACATTTTTGAACAGTTAAATTTGCATTTTATACTGTACTCAATGCCAGAAACACAGAAAGTTACAACAGCAACTGCTGATTTAACAGGACGACCTTCTAGTTGTTATAAATACTTTGGCAAGTTTGTGTTGGTTAAGCTAGGCAGCGACACCTATAAATTTGAAGTTCTCAAAAATGTATCCTTCAAAGCATTTACCGTTGTAAAAGACAGCACTAAGCTGGAGTCAGAACATTTTGGTAAGTCTCGGTTTACGTTAAAGTCAAAGAACTGACTGATTTTAATTTGTGGAAAATCCAAATTTTTAATTTATTGTAAGGCATAAGGCCTCACGAGGAGATAATACAAATTATTTTACCTAGATTGTTGCCTCAAATGCAAGATTTTTTTTTAATTAAGAAATCAAACGATACCTAAGAATCGATTTGAGCTCGCTGTGAAATTCGAAAGCAGGCGTGTGACAGAAAAGACATGCATGGCAGGATATGGCGAGAGGGCAGATGGGCAAAGTTTTAGGCTTGTACCACTGCGAAGGCTACAGTTTAGCCAGAATAAGCATTTTAGAAATATACAAAAAAGATTTAATCGCGAGTGGTAGCCGCCAAAATGAAAGGAAAAAGATAAAACATAGGGGGAAATAAAATTCAATTAAATATTGCAATTGTTAAAATTTGGCATTGCCAGTAGTGCAGATATTGCTAATTAATATCCCTGCAGATATATTGCTAAACAGCCCGGTTGTAAATGCTTGTCACTCGCCGCACCTGCCAATTCATATTCTAGAAGCTGCACACTTCAGACGCGCGTTGTATCGTTCCATAATGCTGATTGGTGCTGCAAGTTCAATCATTTACACAATTCGCCAAGCCATATTTGCATGCAGCGTTCGTAGTTGTGGCTCAACTTTTCTTGGGTGACATATTTTTTTGCAACAGAATGTATATTGACAGTTAATTACTAAATTTTCAGATTGACATTTATTTCAAATAATTCTAACATGTTTCATCAGTCATTGAATAGCTTACTTGGATTTAAACTAAAATAATCAAATAATTAAAACTTTCCAAGTGGGACAAAACTTGAAAGTAAATAAGGAGAATCTAGTCTCTTTCCCTTATTTATTAAATTTGTCTTCAATGCATAAATAAAAATGCATATATTTGTATGTAAATATTTAGAAACTTTTTATATTTTACTACAGCTGGACACATGATAGCGTTTCGATTCTGATAAAGTTTGTTGGAGAGAAATTGCTAGAAATTATCTGCATTACGGACTGCAGATGCTCGTCGGTCAACCGAGTTCTTATTAATCTTCATCTGTGAAAAAAGAGCTGTTTAGATGTAAATGTATTTCCCACAATGTGATTCTTTTTAGTGCAAAAAATCATAATCTTTTGAGAAGTACGAATCCACGTTAATAAATCTGTATCCTTCAGATCTTTGAATAAGATTTATAATCTTATTTTTTAGTTTCTTTTACAGATTTCATAGTGCGTTATTCATGTGTCGCTTTTAATTGTTATGAAAATAATATAAACTGGGAATTCAAATAACTAAAATCTTGAAATCTTTGCCAGAACGTATTTGCAACAAGTACATAACTGAAATGTAAATACATACGGGCCACATAAAATTGCTTCGGAAGCCATACACGGGCCGCCATTTGAGACTACTGATGTGAATGATTTGCACTTTCAGCTAGCAATTGAAAGATAGTAGATTAAATGCCGGAGAAGGCAGAATTGATTTCTCATCTTTCTGAGCTCTGAAGAATTAAACAGTCTCTACCACTACGACCAGATAGAAGGCACGATTCGTCGCCACCTTGATTCAAAAGGCAAAATCTTGCACCTCTCTGCATTGCTAACATTGCTTTACTCGCCTTATAATCCTAGTAAAGGCGCAGTTCATTTCCTGGCGTTCGTCAAAAATATAGTGGCAAAAACAGAATAGTTTTCTATATATAGTTTTCTATGTCGCATCCTGGGAAGAAGGGAAAAAGCAAATAGAAAATACCTCAGTTCTAAAATATCATGGTATGAAACATCATAGCAGAAAATACAGCGGCGCAAAAAACTTCGCAGTCTTAAAACATCTAATTTCAAAAATATCCTGGTAAGAAAATAAAGTACCTATAAGTCATTGCATGATGATAACATAACAGGGAAGTATTTTTTTTTTTTTTTTTTTTTGACATTTAAATTGAATTTTTTCCAATTGATTTGTGAGCACAAGAAGGTAATATTTTTACCTCTACATTTTACATTTTTATATTGACTAATAAATTTTAACTGAAAAGCAAGAAGAAAACTTAAGCATTTAAAGTCTAGAAATTAGTAAAAATTAATGCTACGTACAACAGTTAATATAATTTTAAACGTATGTTGCTAAACACTAAAAATCAGTGTTTAATTAATCTCTTTTACACGTATTAGAAGATTTTCATAAAAAAATATAGTGTTAAAAAGTTTAGAAAGAGGAAGCCACGTAAGTTAAAAATTAAATTAACTATTATTCGTAGCATTAATTTTTACTAATTTCCAGGTTTTGAATGCGTAACTTTCCTTCTTGTTTTCTCAGTAAAAACTTATTAGTTAATTCAAAAATATGAAATATAGAGGTAAAACTATTACTTTTTTCTCGAGCTCTCAAACCATTACGTGAATTTTCTAAAAATTTTTTTCACTCGGAAAACGCATATCTGCAATGTTCTCATCATTCGATAATTTGTAGGTGCTTTACAACAGTGTTTTAAAACTGAGAAATTTTTGTATGTGAACGCTTTCTTTTAAAGTGCAATGTTTTAGAATTGCGATGTTTTTCCCTTGCTTTCTTTTCTCCCACGATGTTTTGGACGACGACGTTTGACCTTTGCGTTGTTTTCTACGCGACGTTTTCGCCCGTGATGCTTTTTTCACGAAGTTTTCATCTGCAACCGATTTTCTATGTTTCCTGTCGTGAAAACCTTAATAGTCTCTATTAAGTTATTACCTTATTAGTCTCTATAGTTCTACTTCGGAAAGCTGAATGTTTATATTCACATACTTTTCGCTATGTTCTAAAAGCAGCAAAACATAAAATAAAATAAAACACTAATAGTAATAACACTTAATTAAATATTAAATTAATAAAAACTTACTTACTCTTCTAAGTTGCTCTTGTATTAGTTTGTATTTTGCTTGAATTATCTGACATTCCATTAAATTTTTTTCGACTTTTTGGTATTCATTTTCTAATTCTCTCACACGCTATAAATAAGTATTATTTACATTTCAGAAATTCAATAATATTAAATTTTAATACATAATATCTGTACAACCTATCATGCAGAATAATTTTATTCTTTTAGACAACTTGATGTAAGGATTTTTTTAAAGCAGATCTAACATGTCTGAAATTAAGAAAGATATGAAATTAACAAAAAATAATTAAACTACGAAAGACTACCTTTTATATGTGTCTCGATTGAATGTGTTTGAGTTACAAGTATATTTTGAAGTTCCAATTTACACAGAGAAATGTTAAATAGTTAATATTATTAATTTGGAAAACGGTGATAAAGATTTAAGCTATTATGATAGCCTAATAAACACTTTTGCGCAGAAATTTCTTGATACAAAACAATTTTACATATAAATCTTCTAAATTTGTTTTAACAATGCATAAAATATTATAATTATTTTCAGCAATAAATATTTTTGCGAGAAAATATTGTTTTCCTGAATCATCAAAACATGTTTTGTTTATAACCTAAGAATTTCATTAGCCATAAAACTTAAGCTAAAAGTTCAGTTGAAAAAACATACCCTTAAAGTTTCTGATTCAGCATGTTCTCTTATAAAATCATTATAGTTATTCCATGCAACAATTTTCGATTGTTCTTTCAGTTTCTGCAGATGTTTTTCTTTTACTTTCAGCTCGTGAGTCAAGGCATTGCTCTTTTTAATCAAATCCAAAACTTTCCCATCAAGTATCTCAACGGCTTCCTGAAATAACATACAGATTCATTTTATATCATATTTCTTCATTCAAAATTCAAATCACAGATATTACTAAAATTTTTAAATGCCTTGTTATACGCAATTAAATATCTAAAAGATATATAAATAACGACACAGGGAATGACAAACAGAGAAACTAAGTACAGCTAACACAAATCATCTTTTCTACATAGAATACAAAGTTAAATATGAATCAGACAGGTTATATTACTGATTATATTCAAAACACAGATTAAATTGTATTCCGCATACTGTATGCAAATGTAAAACTTAAAACATGAAGGACCTGAAAAAAGCTTAGGACCTGAAAAATGAATTTTCGATCAAGATTCCTTTTCTACAAATAGGAATGCTTTCAGCATTTGCTCTGATGGTTGGTAAATGTATTATATCGATTATAAGTTATTGTAGAATTTTGTGGGGCTGCTTTCTCGTGGCCAATCTATATCATATCAAGAGACTTTTAACAGTCAACAAGCAGTTAAAATTCAAATGCTTTAATTATGCAAGATAGTTTGCTATTACAATTTTGTTTAATTACAACCATATAATTATGGCGAATAATATTACTTCCACGCATTTAGTTCTTTTTATCATTGACTATACTTACTACGCGATAACTTATACTTAAAGGAATATAGCCTAAATTAAAAAGCCTTCAGGTTAATGAAGATAAATTTAATTAAACAAGTTATGAAAAGTTTGTAACAGATATTATTATGAAGCTAAGCACATTTCATAAAAGTACCTACCCTTCCTGATTTTCCTGCAAGAACCCCGATTTCACGTGAATGTTTTTGGAAAGCTTTGGCAATTATCTTTTCATCCCCCTGAAATAAGAATAATGAAAGTTAAATCTAACCACTTCTCAGCTCAACAAATTTCATAAAGCAGTTCAATCCCCTATTTTTAAATTACAGAATTTGGAAGAAAATCGTATTTCAGATGAATTATATGTGAAACATGATTTATAAAAAAAGTACATTTAGAGAGAAATAAAAAATTAAGTTAGCCCTATAATGCTGACTTTTTGCACACATGTAAATATAAGTAATAAGCTTATTTTATATAAAATACCCATGTAATGTTGACCTTGTTTAACACATGCAGGTAGTATTAAATATTTCACACAGCTTTACATTTCGTATTTATTACACATCTGAAAAATTTTAGCTATTTCATCTATACTCTATAAAACAAGGAACAGCCAATTTTTGGTATATTTTAAAACAAGGAATGAACGAAAATTAAAACATGAAAATTACAATGGCATAACTTAAAAGCTATTTTGTATGTTTTTAATAATAAAAGTTTGTAAATTTGTAAGATAACTTTAATAAGAAACACATTTAGCTAATACAACCGAATGTAACTGTAAGAAAGCAGACGTTTCATTACAAATTCAACTGTAAGAAAGAAGAATAGCCTATAGGGTATTTCTCCCGCCTTCTTAGCACGCCTTCGTAGTGTAGTGGTCAGCACGCTCGGCGCGTATTCAAGAGGCCTGTGGTTCGAATCCCGGCGAGGGCATTGCTCATTTTTCATCGTTTCCTGCATCGAAATAACCTAATGTCTCTACAAGACTTACAAACTTGTTCTTACGCGATCTAGAAACCGAAAAAAGTGAAATAAAATACTAAATAATATGTGATAGTCAAAAACTACGAGAATGAGATACCCGTATCACATACGGGCAAATAAAGCTGTGCAAAAAAGGATTGCCTGTATCACGTACAAATAAAATTGTCAAGCGCCTAATTAATAATATATAGAAAAACAATGGAATCGAAAACTTGTAGCAAACATGTCAGAATATACAATCTAAAATAATTTTGTACGTAGACAAGAAATAACAGTATATTATGTGCATGATAAATGGCTATAGACAGCAATTTAGGATAAATAATTTTAAAAAACACTAAAAAAGTACTTTTGTTTACTTCGTAATTTGGAATACTACGCTGTTTAAGTAGGGTAACTTATTTCAGCACTACAGGAGCTTATAATTTTCTCTTTATACACAAATACATACATAAGATTACCCAAGATCTAGAAAATACATTAGATTTCTAACTATCAGGACTTATTGGGATCATGCGCAATCTGCAATTTCTCTTCTCTGTAGATTAAATACGAGTACATATTTACTGTAAAGCAAATAAGAAAATTTTGTTTTATAATTTGTTCCTTGTCCCATCCTTTCCTCATATTGAAAAGTGGTTAGGATTAAAACAACTGGACTGCTAAAAAAGTATTCATTAAAACTACATTTACCTAACTTCCAATAACTTGCCTTTCTTCCTTTCTAAAATCTAACTCAAAGATTCCCAACCTTTTCTTGCACCTTCCCCTTTTAAAAGGATGGCTTCATCGATCTCTTATACTTATTTGTATAATATGCAGCACACAAAATAACTGCGCGTAAAATAACTCAAGATAAGATAACAATTAGACTAAGAATATGAACAGAAGTTTTGAAAAAAAAAAATGTTTAGTAGATTTTTGTTGTTGTTGTGTCATCACTTTTGCGTTTACAAATAGAAGTAGGTTTTCAGAAACAAAAATCACAAATTCTAATTGCACAAAAGCTCCGTTTAAATTGCAGAGACATTAGGATTTTTTGGAAGCAGGCAAGATGAAAAATAGCAAACGCGTTTGCCAGGAATCGAACCACGGACCTCTGGATACCGGCCCAGCGTACAGAACCACTACACCACGAAGGCACGCTAGGAAAGTGGGAGAAATACCTTATAGAATGAATGTGATGGCTGCACTTGATGTAATGATGCAATTTTTTAATATTTGGCACAAAATTGCTTAACTTAATTTTTAAATTACCTCGTACAAAAATATTCAACCTCTTTCTTGTTTTCTTTATTAAATTATTGACTTGACTGAAAGTTGTTTCTACTACGTAAATAGACAGGAAAGTCAAGACTGTTGTTTCGGTAACAATTTTTATTTTGGGATATTTCTTTAGAA